GATCAAGGTGAACCCTGTTATAGTCACCTGTTATTTCAGAAATAAAATAAGCATTGTTAAATTGGTGCAGATGGGGCACTGAAAGTGTGGGGAAAGGTTATTAATGTAAGGTCAATGAGCTCTCAATGATGTAATAGGATACTGAGTTAAGGATCCAGAAAATAGATACTCACATCCCAGGCTTTAAAAAAAAAAACAATAAGATTTGTCACTCCTCTGCTTGGCTTAGGTCAAATAGCTTAATGACATGCTCATTGTCAAAATCCAAACAGTATGAGCAACCATTTCAAGGTCATGGGCAAACCACTCTCAGAAAACATTAGCTAGAACCTTTATAACTAACATTGTGATATGAAGGTGAGGTTAACTCATCTGGCCAAGAGGCTTCTGGGAAACCAGGACCTAAAGAGTCCAACAAAATGCAGTTTCTGTTGGAAGAGTGAGCACACAGTAAGCAGCCACTAGATGTCATTCTCCTTCAGAGGGCTGTGCACATGGCTTACCCCAGTCAAAAGGATGTTGAGTGGTCTAGACAACAAATTCCTTAAATGGCATTAATTAAAAATAGCCTGACCTCTGACTCCCGGGTGCTGCCCAGTAATTGACCAAAATAAAAATGAAAACCCACTGGAGACCAGCCACCAGCCCCCAAAGGCAAGGACGGCTTTGACCAAAATACTACATTTGAATGATTGCACCAAAACAGCCAGAAGATTTTGAGGCAAGGGGAAGAAACTCCAACTAAGCAAGATAATATGACCCACACAAAGTCAAGGCAGACCATCACCCAAGATGGAAAGGTCATGCCAGCCATTTCATATCAATTAGTTTCCCTTACATTAAAAAAACATAAATACCATAAAGGACATAATAATTGCCCACCTGCCTGTGTCTCTTGTTTCTTCTGTGTCTCTGTCTGTCTCTCTCTTACACACACACACACACACACACACACACACAGAGTTGAGCATTTTTAATCACTTGTGAGATTAAAAAACAAAAGTAAAACCTATTTTACCCATCCCAGTTGCAGCGTAGAGCATCAAAAACAAGTGCTCATGAAAAAAAAAATGCATAGATCGCAGGTTGCAAAAGGCACTAAAGACTCACATCTGGCTTTAGCCCAGCCATTCTGAGTTGCTGGGGAGCATATGCTTTAAGCCTTAACTGAATTAGCTGCCAGCATAGTTTAAAAAGCAAAGTACTACACACAGAAGCATGGATTTCTATCTTCACTTGTCAAAGCAGAAGTCATATCTAGCTCTCAGTCCACCTTCCCCCCCAGCACTGCGGGGGGCGGGGGCTGGGGGTTGGGGGTGGTGGCTGCTTCCCTTGGGCATGCATGCACAGGAACCCCACATGCAACACTGCCCTCCTAGCCCCTTTTATTCTTGTTGGCTTCCTGTTAGTCAAGAGGAGTATGAATCTGAACCCCTGCAGCAAAAAGCACAGAAGAAAAGAGAGCTCAGGATGTACTGCTAAGATCTCACTGAACAGAGTGATCTTCATAGCAGAGATGCAAAGGCAGGACAACTAAAGACACATGGGGCTTCCACAAAGATCATGCCCCAGGTGTCTGCACCCAGTAGCGCTCTCCTCAGAGCAAGGAGAATGAAAGGACCTTTCCCCACCCCTTCAATGAGAGGCCTGTGCTCCTGTCACTGGCTTGCAGGAGTGGGACTGGGGTTCTGATTGGCACAATGATTGGAAGAGGAGGAGTGGAAGAGGAGGAATGGAGCTAGTGACACACAGCAGACAGGAGTCAGGCCAGCTGGTTCCCATGAAACATCTGGCTCAGTCCTGTGCAACAAGCTGTCATTTCGTCCCACACAATCTTATGGCTGCCTAGACAGTCACCTGGATTAAGAGGCAACTGCAGTTTTCAGAACCCACTTGACACCTCAGTGAAAGCATAATTGTGTGTGTTTCGGCAGTACTAGCACCAATATGTTTTTCCCCCGGAAGGGCGGGTAGTGCTGAATGAAGAAAAGAGTATGCTGTCTGTTTTAGGTGTGTTATGAAGACACTACTGAGAGCTGCTGGTCATTTTGAAAAGTCCCCCTGGCAGACAACATGCTCCCCACATCCCAAGTATTACCTGCCTCTACCAGTCAAGCCCTGCAAGCCCTGATTCCCTTGTCTCCCAGAGCAGCTGTCACTACACATTAACTTAAGTATACAATGTATTATGTAACCTACCACTTTGCTTTTGTTTCTGCATTGTAAGTTATTTTTAAAAACTGATACCTAAGAATTAGTTGCACATTTGCAAAATTGTACAGTATTTTCTATGGGGATATAGCAATGAGCCTGTGAAGATTAAGTCCATCATGATTACTGTGACAGTGACATAATTCAGTCTTTCACACAATCTCTAGCCCAACATCATGATTGCTGTGACAATGACATAATTCAGTCTTTCACACAGTCTCTAATCCAATATCATGATTACTGTGACAATGACATAATTCAGTCTTTAACACAATCTCTAGCCTCTGGGCCTATGCTTCCATTCTTTCTTCTGCTTTGTTAATTCCAGGAGATGCCTCAGACTGAGGGTTACACATTATTTCCGTCTTCCTCCAGGAAGCTTTCCCTGACCACTGTGCCCCATACTCTTAAACAGTAATGGGCAGTTTGCTCTGTATTGCCTCTTTATTAATTGTAGGGAGGCATTACCTCTTCATTCTTTATTTGCTAGGAAGCTTCTAGATGGTTGAGGATCTAATACTAGTACAATGCCCAGTCAGCCAGTGTTTCTCATGTGCCTCCTCTGTTCCAGACACTGAAGGCAGGATTTAAATGAGTCCACCAGACCCAAGATAAATGATAAATAGCTATTTATTAGGGGAGTATGTAGGGGAAGTTGTAGCTACGCCTACTTAGGGGCTGGCTACAGGTGTGCCTCACCAGGCTTGTGAGGGCGTGGTCAGAGTGACGTAGTGTGACTGCGTTTGCTGTTTCGTGTACTTACACAGACAAGAGTAAATAACCATCTTGGTCTTCCTGCTCCAAAAGATACATGCACTCTCTGCCCTTCTGATACTCTCCACAACACAAGAGAGTAGAAGCCAGCCCCTCCTGTACCTTATAACGGGTCACAACTGTATCTGAAACCACACCCAAAGGGTGTGGTCACCACCACAAATTCATTGGCAAGGCAAGATGCTACTACAAGACACCATGAGAGAAGCAAGGTGTGAACAAGAGATGATGCCGAGACCTTGTACGGCCGCCATTTTAATGAGTGACAAATAATCAGGGAACTTATTAAGCATAATTACAGACTATAATCAGCACTGAGAAAGACAAACAGGAAGCTAAGTGGAGAAAACCAGGAAGCATGTCTAGGAGGAGTATACAGGGAACACTGCTAAAATGCCAGTGACGCTGAGAAGGTGACAGCAAAGGTCCTAGCTGAAGAAGAGCCTGGCTATGGAAAATCTAGACAGGATTATCTGGGAGTGGAAAGGTCATGTGACTGGGATGAGTGTGGGCTGCACAATAAAGTGAACAAATCCTACTATAATAAGATGGCAATACAAGGGCTCCAGAGAGAAGTTCAGAGCCCAGGCAGGGACAACCATACATGTAAAACAGAAAGAAGTCTGGATTTCATTTCTGGTAATTCGGGAGTCGCTCTATGTGTTTCACACTGGTCTCAGTAGGAGCTGATGGAAGTTAGGACCCTGAGCAGTGGATCGTGCCTGGAACACAGAATCCTTGTTGGAACAGCATATGCTGAGGGAAGGACTCCCTTCTCAAAACTTCAACCTCAATCAAATACAAATGGTTATGACATTGCCACATCTGAGCCCAAACAGCAGGCTGAGACTGGAGACTTTTTGAGCTCTTCCAGCGCCTAGCAACCATCTTCAAATTAGGACTAAGTACCAAGAAGCATCGTGTCTAAGTTTCTACTGCCTACTTCCTGAATGCCTAGTCTATGTGAATCCTGGCTGCAGACACCAGGGACTCAGCAAAAAATCAAAAATGATACAAGTGCCTGACCCCATACAGTTTACATTTTAAGGAGACAAACAAGAGATGTGGAGAAAAATAAGACCAGTCTGAGGAATGGGGTCTTCAATAATAATGTTACACTGGATCTATGTCAGGATCCCCTTCTACGCATCTCATAGACCTTAGTCTACACAGCCTAGCCTCCAGGTGTCAGGTACCAGAAGGATGACATCATAGTTTTATAGGATGAGTGTCTCAGAGAGGCTCAGAGACTTGCTGTGGCCACAGTAGATCAGCAGTACTGTGAGCGCTTCTCTTACATGCCAATTAATATGATAAATGCAATGATAATGGTCAAAATTTACAAGAGAATGGACAGAAGCTATTAAGTAGTAATTGGGTGACTGGTGGTGCTCATCATAAGATGTGTGTGTAGCCTTTAGTGTGATTCTCACATCTTCCTTTTAAGGTAGACATGACCATTGTGTCCATTTTATGGGTAAGGAGCAGAATTAGAGGAGCTGTATGATTTGCTCAAGTTCAATGTCAATGAGTGGTAGAGCCAAGATTCAGTTCTATCTGCCATTCTGCCTCAAGCTACTCTTGGAAAGTCTGGGGTTGGAGTGCCACTTCCCTGAAAAACATCTCAAGGTGGCTATACTCTATCTTTCCTTAGATATTTTTTTTTTTTTTAAAAGAAAGTCAGGAGAGTGGAAAGATAGTTCTTCAATTAAGAGCACTGGCTGCTTTTGTTGAATCTCTGGGTGCTAGTCCCAGCTCAGAGCCATAGGCAACTCTAGCTCCAAGGGATCCAAAGCCCTTTTCTGTGTACTGTACACATACATGGTGCACAGAGACATATACAGGCAAAACACTCAGATAATGAAGATGAAGAAGAAATTTAAAAGTCAGCAGATGGCTTTTCAAATTATGCTAGAGGCTGATGTAACCAATCCTTCTCCAGCCACCGTCAGCCACCACCCAGGTGACCACTCAAGACAACCCCCCCATCACTGATATCACATCTCCATACATACATGCAATTTGTTGAGCAGCACCGCGTCTGTTGTGCTGTTGGCCCCAGGCTTAGCAGCTTTCCAGAACTGTTTCTGTGCAGAGTATCGATTCATAGGACATAGCTTGAAGAGGCAGTCTAGAAAGAAAAACAAAAGGCAAAAGCTGTTACTGGGGATGCATATATGGCTGGCCTGGGAAAGACAGTTCTAATTATTTTCTACACGTAAGTGTCGGTACAAAGCCCATTCACAAACTTTGGACTGAAAATTTCACCATCACTGTGTTAAGATACAGATGAGGAAACTTGGGTTTACAGAAAGGTAATCAATTGCCCAGTGTCACCAAAGTGGTTAATGGCAAATCTGGAACAACATGGCAAAATCAAGTTTTCTTAATCTTTCTCCACAGCACCATCCAGTCAAGGCCAATAACTCTAAAGCCAAAAAGTTCCCACTATATACACAATGTCTATATGGATCTTGGATCTTACTGATACTTTTTAAGTGCAAATAATAGCCTATCTATAGCTTATTTGAAAACACCTCCTAGAGGAAACGTCTTTCAAGTGTCACATGCATGATGACCCTCTGGGTACAGAAATTTCAAAACCAGAAAAATTCAAATTGAGACCAATAAATATGCCCCTGTCCTCTTTGCGATCAGTCCATCGCAAATGCTTCCAGTTAGCAACCCTGGGTTTGTGTGACTTCATTACACTGTCCTATGCAGCATGGACAAGTGGTTTCAAGATCTCTGCAAAGAAATTGATGCAATGACTGGGGCAGCAGAGCAACTGAGTAAACAAGAGAAAGACAAGTGTGACCCTTCTCTTACTCTTCTTGTCACCCACCCCAAAGTAAAAATAATGACCTAGTCAGATCTGAGTAAAAGTCACCCAGAAGGTAAAAATCATAAAGAAAAACCCTGAACATACTGTCTTCTGATGATGAACCTTACCCTAAAGCAGCTGTAATGATCTCAGTGGGAAATGACCTTGACAAAGCCACACTGAACATTGGTTTCAGCAGGTGCCATTGTCTTGGGAGGTCATGGAACCTCTGGACAGAAGGCCTATGTGGTGGATGAAGACCACTAGGGATGGGCCTTTAAGGGTTCCAGACTGACCCACTACTTGACCAAATACTCTGCTCCCTATCAGCTGGGATGTGAAAGAATTCACTGTAAGCTGCAGCCGTCTCAGCCCAGCCATCATGCTCTCCATGATTGAGGCATTGGCATTCTTTGAAATCAAAGGACAAAACAAATTCTTTCCCTCTCAAGTGGTTTCTGTGAGATATTCCCTTACAACAACTAAAAAAGGAACTAAAATAAGTCCACAAACTGTGATGAGGTATAAAACAACTCTGTGGCCATTGTGACTGACCAGACAGGACATTACTGTTTCATCATCATTTTCTCACTAATTGCTATAGTCCTGCTTATTTTTAAA